CGCTGAAAATGTGACGGCATTAAATTTTGTTGAAAGCTGACTGTTGTGTTTGGAAGTTCGAAACTATAAGCTTAGTAAGCTAAGCCAAATGATAAGCTTACTGTTGTAATTTTTAGACTGAAATAACGAATCTGAAATAATTTTTCAACTTTATAAAGATCTTCCACAGTGTTAAAAAGGGTTAGCTTTCGATTTTCTTCTTTGTATCTCTGTATCTATTAAAACAATGATCATAATCATTGTTCATTACTTGTACCAATGTTATCCCTGTTGTCGATGAGTGTCTAATTTCTCCTAATGATATCACTGATTAATCAAGAATGAAGGTAATGAGAATTCAGGAAACAGTCACTATAGAAGATTCTTGATTGTTATGAAATTGTCTTCCTTCTTGTCGTGAAAATGTGTTGTTCCATACTCTTACTCCAGCAATGGAGGGTTTTAGCTCAACTCTTCCTAGCCTCCCACGCAGGCATTTTTAGGGGAGCTTGTTTTTCATCCCTCCCCACAAACGCCTGCTCAACTGAAGACAACATTCCTGTCCCATGCTTAGCCAATCACATTGCACTTTCCAAATTCTGGAAAGTTGAACTTGACCGCAAGGAAATCTGATAATTACTCGATCTGCAAGAAACAATGGGAAAGCTGTCTGACCTCCAATAAATGTTAGATTCAGAGCAGCAAAAGTAAGATTTAGTCAAATTTTAGAATACTCCTTGCACTGCGTAACATTAGTGAAGGAAAGAAAAGAAGGAAAACGGTAACTGTAGGGTCACGTTTTAGTCGCGTTTAGCCTGTCAACACTTTATTGCACAACTGTTTGTTGGTCACTTACCATGCAAATAAAACAATGGGAAAGGAATGTTGTTCACGGTTGAGCAGGCGTTTGTGGGGAGGGATGAAAAACGAGCTCCCCATTAAAATGCCTGCATGGGAGGCTAAACTCTTCCCTATCCCTCTCAAACTTTAGTTTTTTTTTAAAATGTTGGCCTCTCTCCCTTGGAATTTGTCATTATTGCTTTAATATATGTTAAGTTTATTCTGCAACCACACAATATTGTAAATACTAAAATTAGCATTTAGCAAGTGCCCTGATGATCCAAAAACCCATGCTGGCAACCAGCAAACATCACCACCTACTTCAGGTTTTTTACTGGCAACTTTGCTGGGTTTTCTTCTGACTCTTTAGTCAAAGATGGTTAACTAAGCACTCGTTAAAATAATAAATATACTTACTTCAAAACTAAATGAAGTCACCTCCCCCCTTCCCCCTGCCCCCTCTTTCCCCAAAGATGGTAAGAAATATAACACCAAAATTAATGTAGGGTATCCTAACCCTTGAATGATGAAATTAGTGCCTTCCTCGCCCCCATCACCCTTTTCGCCTTAAAATTGAATAGGTAGCCTGGGTGCTGAAGTGAGCTTTTACTGACATGAGGCAGTCTAACGAACACATATGTTATTTTCAATCTTTTTGCAAAAGTTGTCTCTTTACTTAACCATGTTGTTATTGTTTGTTACTAATAGTTGCACCATCCACTAATGGTGATGCGAAGCCAGAAACTACTGAACAAGATCAACAGGCCCAGGAGGGTAAGCTTATGTATTTGTTTTGATTAAAAAAATATCCTCCCACCAAAGCTTTGTAAGCTCCTGTGATCATCCCACTTCTTTAGGAAATTATATTTCAGGTATACAACTGACTATAACCCTGGATTCAGCTGATTTTTGCCATTCAATGTTTTCCCTAGGTGTTCCAAGTGAAAATGCAGAACCGTCAAACAATCAGTCAGCTGAAAATATGGACCAAGAGAGTAAGTTTCTTTTTGGCTGTGTGTATCAGGAAGTCAGTAACTTACTTTATTATCTCTTATTTTCGGGTGACTTTAATTTCACGAATTTGGAATAGAAATATTTTGCAGGACTTAAATTTCACGATTTTGACGAATCACCATTTTCTCTATAATTAAATTTCGCTAATCACGTGCACTGGTGCTGGTATTTTTAGTCTTCCATTTCTGCATTTTATTCAACCATAACAGAATAGAAACACAACAAGCAACTGACTGAAATGTTCAACAATGTCAGCAACTTAACATTTTTTATAAGTACACTGATATAAGCAACTGAGGCACTATTTACCTTGATGGCGCTTGCCGCAATGTCTTCAAATGAATTTTCAGGCGATAAGGTTGTCTTCCCTCGAACAAGTTTAGATATTCCTGCTTTGCTCCATTCTTTTGCAATATGCAGCTTTCCCACACTGCCTGTCAAGTGGTTGTAAAAGCTCACCAGCCAGGCGGCATGTAAGGGCTTCAGCACAGATGGCCCTAAATAGACCTCAATCTGATCAGTGCTGTTCCCCGACTCCATTTGTTTCTGAACTTCGGCCAAATACCAAGTTGTAAACATCTGTGCTTTATGAAGGATATGTTGATGGCATATTTGAAGACTGTAATGAGGAAGTGGTACAGGAACTAATTCAGCAAGATGAGTCAGATGATGAGGAATAAGGACATGCATTGACCTGAAATTTGAGCCCTCTTACTCATATGTATACTCCTAGCAGATGGAAAACTTAAATAAAGGTTTTTATATAGGTCACAAAATTTTGCCTCTTTAATTTCCGAAGCACCTTTTTTCGTGGGACTTTAATTTTGTGAAATTTTTTAAATCACGAAAATTAAGTCTCAGGAAAATAAGTGGTAAGAAGGTATTACTGGTCTGGCTAAGAATAAAAACCAGTACACTGTCAGTCTTCAAAAAAGTAATTGTCAGTCCCAAGAAAAGTTCTCCAGTGTTTGATCGTGCTGTAAAAAAGTATTGCTGTTTATAAACAACTTTAAACTTCCTTTGTGTCAAAGCCACTGGGGATGTTGTTATAGGCCTGTATTTTGAGTTTCAAACATGAAGTGTCATATATTATTACATGTACTCATAAAATAATGATGAATAATTTCTAAGAGTTTCACTCTTCTATTGAGGACAACAGCATTAGGTTTCATTTGGGACAATAATCTCTTAATAGCTGCACTTGGTCACTTTTTTCTTACACCATACCTAGACACTTTCAAATTTTTAAGAAAATGCTTCATTGTTGCAGAAAATAATGAAACAGATGATACTGAAGTGAAAGAGGAAGCAGAGAAGGAAGAAGCCAAGCCTGAGGTGAAGAAGGCCAGCTCTAAAAAAGAAGTTGAAGAAGAAGACGACAAGAGGGAACATGTTAATATTATATTTATTGGTCATGTCGGTAAGAGTTTTGTTTGTTCCATAACACTTCTATTTCTCTGGAACATGAACATCATCATACGAAACGGAAGCAAACTGAGCTTGTCTTTTTTTTTCCAGATGCTGGAAAATCAACAATTGGTGGTCATGTTATGTAAGTTACAGTGTATGTGTTGTGTCAAGACATTTGTCTTTGGTATTTTTTTTCCCATCTTCCCAGCAGTAGGAGCTCCTCCCTTGGACTTAGGCGTGTCCTACAAATTTCATGCAACAGTGTTGTGTCAGCACTGTGTAAAAAATAAAATAAGAAATGTGAACCTTTTATGTTATCTATCTTATCACTGCATTGAACAATTTAATACAATGTCCAGTAACAGCTTCTGTAAACAAAGACTTCATGGTGATCTGTTTTCTTCCGTCAATTTGGCAAGTGTTTCATTTTTGTGTGTGAAAGTGTGTCAACATCTGTCCCTGTTTTTACTGTTGGACATGTTTTTAAACCTGTCCGATATAGTCAGGATTAATATGTTTCACTTTTTGTTGTCATACTTGTAGGTATCTGACAGGACAGGTAGACAAAAGAACACTTGAAAAATATGAAAGAGAAGCTAAAGAAAAAAACAGAGAGACATGGTAGGTCAAGCGAAAGCTGTTGACAGAAATGTTTTTTTGCTATTACACAAGGGCTGGAGCTGGAAATTCCCCTGGGCTACTACAAGCGTCACCCCTGGCTGCTTCTCTCATAGGAAACAAAGGGAAATAGGACCAATCGAACTTCGTATCTGTTCCTGCCTACCAGTTGCATATTATTACAGCATATGCGGCAGCTTGAAATCTTAGCAACTTCCCTGATTACATGTAACTAGACTTTGATGACCTCTTGATTAGAGATATTATCTGTCACAATTTGATATCTTCTTACTGCAAAATTAATACTCTACTGAGTCTGCCATCTGATAAAACTCTTTTCTGGATGTCTGATAGGATTTGTTGGAAGTGTTCCCTTCTTTCCAAGGCTACTTTAGAACTGAAAAGTTGTTTTAAACTTTCTTACTTTCATCTGCCTAACCTATACTATCTAAATGTGATCAAGACAGTTTGTGGGAAAACTTGATCATTTATATTCCGAATTACTGCGTACAGTTATGATAATTATTTACATCAGTCATGCATGATTTATGCACTCTGGCAGTAATAAAATACCTTTTTGTCTGTAGGTATCTATCATGGGCATTAGACACAAACCAGGAAGAAAGAGATAAGGTATTGTACACTGAACACAATGCTGAGAGCAGAATGCTGAAGGCAGAACTATAAACAATCTTAGAATGAACTACTGTTTTACAAAAGTGAGTGTGGATCAAATTGAGCTAAATCATTGAGTGTTTTCCCAATTGGTGTTTTTAAGGGCAAAACAGTAGAAGTTGGAAGAGCAGCATTTGACACTCCCAATAAACACTTCACATTGCTGGATGCACCTGGGCATAAGAGCTTTGTACCAAACATGATCAGTGGAGCCTGTCAAGCTGATCTGGGAGTGCTGGTAAGTTCTTACACTCATGCTGCTCAGTAGACCCTTCTACGGTTTGTTCAACTTTTGAAATGCTTTAGTACAGTTAAGGAAGATCAGTCAACACCGCTGGAAAGTAGCAAACTAGCCAAGTATGAAAGTGATACACCTTAAATGAGCGAAGATATACAGTGTAGCTCTGCATAGTTGTGAAAATTTACAGACGTCTGTATGATGGGGAGCAAGTTTGTCTCCCCCACCATACAAACGTCTGTAAAATTTTGTGACTTTGATTAGGTACAACTGTATATCTTTGTTAGTTTTCAACAAATCACCGTTAAACCTGGAAGTTGTACAAAAGGCACTCTTTTCAGTGGAGGCAATGGATTTTTCCATAACTTGTCCATGTCAAAAGTTGCAAAAAAAACATGGAAGGGTCTATTGAAATTTGAAGCCTCCTTGGTCCAGCCCGATGATCATCCTTTTTCTTGAAAATTGCAAGAATTATTCCATCGTTCACGCCATCTTTATTCTGAGTCTGGTTTTAAGTATTTTGAGGTAGTGGGCTTGTGATTTGTACTGGAAATTTTCTTCACTTTCCAGAGAAATTTCTCTTCCAGAACTAGCACACCTGCAAAAGAATCCTTTGTCTCCTAGCCCAATTTTTTATGACCATGATTAATGAGTGTAAGGAGACAAAGAAAAATCAATGATTAACCTAGATTTAAAAAACTTTTGCCTGCGTATAATTTTATCTACAAAATACACACCTTGTGGTTTTGATCTTCATACATGTATCATTTTTTATATTATGGCATTGGAATTTGGTGGTTTTTCCTTAGGTGATTTCCGCCAGGAAAGGAGAATTTGAAACTGGATTTGAAAAAGGAGGACAGACAAGGTAGGAAGGCTGTAAAAGTTTGCATGTATAGGCTGCATTCACAGTGAGTCACAAAAATAATGTCTTTGAGGAAAAAGAATTTCGTAGACCAAGAGTTAGTGTAGTTATCTCTTACTGTGTAACCATATAGCGGAATATGGTCTGAATTATTGTGAATAACTTAACTCTCACGTTTTGTGCTTTCAGAGAGCATGCTATGTTGGCAAAAACAGCTGGAGTAAAACATCTGGTTGTCCTTGTTAATAAAATGGATGATCCTACTGTGGAGTGGGCTGAGTCAAGGTTAGTTTTTCATGAACCATTGCAACTCAGTGTTCTCCTTATCATTTTGGGAAGGCCAGGGGGCATTCTGACTAAGATTTTTACAATGTTTGTTCAAAACCTGCTGTAGCCAGTTAAAAAAATTCGTAAAGATTGGGAACTTGATTTCAGTTGTTCATGCATCACAGGTTTAAACATATTCAACTGTAAATCACTTGAGTTGGGTTTCAGAATAGAAGCTTTGCAAGAAAACTTGGTCTTGACTTCTCAATGTAGTGTCCAGTAAAATGCAGTCAACTTTATTCAAGGCACTGTTTCAGTGTTTATGGCAAGTTTTGTCAGAACTCTGTGTCTGCAACATGTTGTCTTAAGTGGATGTTCAAGGCTTGCCAAAGCATGCAAGTATAGTTCTTGCCTCTCAAGTTTTTGCAGTTAGGTAATAACTGTTTTAAATTTATGTGGAGTTACTAGTATTGTCAGTGTATAAATACATTCATTGCATCAATTCATGAAAGTTTCTGCGAGCCCTCAGCCTGCCAACTGGCTCCCATTGGACTATATGAGCATGGTGTATTGGGTGAAAAATAAGGGAGAATGAAAACGAGGGAAGGTTTTGGTCCCTCTCCCTAGTTGACACTCGCTTCAGTAGCCTGCTGTCTGGGTATGAGCCTGTGACAGCCTGAGCACCTTAATATTTTGACGTAATGTTCTTGCAGTAGTGCCTCCACTTCTTCTTCTTCCTATACTTGAAACAAACAAATTATTCATGGTTAATACATGTATATGTTGCAGGTCAAAATTAAATTCAGGTCAAAATTTTTTAACCTAGGGTGATTCTCAATTCCCTTTGTCTTCTATCCCTCTTTCATGAATAATTAGGGTGCCAGGAGACCAAGAGAATTTTGAGTTAACCTAGTTTAAAAGATGTTTACCTGGATTTAATTTAAACCTGTAACATAATATATGCATAACTTTTGAATTTGACCATTTTAAAATTTTGTTGTCCAGGTATGAGGAAATCAAGACAAAACTGACACCCTTTTTAAAGAAAGTTGGCTTTAATCCAAAGACAGGTTTGTCTTAGTCTAAGTAGTGGCACTTGGCCACATTGTAATTTGTTTGTGAAGTGATAACAGCTGTACAGAAGAACATTGTGCAAGTTTTGCCTATGACAGGGGCCACAACCAAGCATCTGTCATTATAGGGCATTAAATGGCGAAGTAACAATATCATCAGTAGCACATCGGTGTCATTCATACTTTGGCACAATACAATACTGTCTTGATATGATACATTGCTGTTGTTGTCCATGTGTTTTGCTATTTTGATGGTGAGTGCATGATGAGTGTGTGGTGGTGAGTCCTGGTTTGACTTTGTGACTTCGTGATGCAGTTCTAGTCAAGAACCCGCATTTCACCCTTGCTTGCTATAGAGTCTCCAGTAGCTCAGTGGTTGGAGAATCTGACTAGATCACAGTGGGTTGTGGGTTTGAATCCCTTCTGGGGCTCTGGTTTTTTCTAAGTTTCCATTTGATGCAAAAAAACATATCAAGTTCATGACTTGTTTTTCTTTTTTACAGACATCCACTATATGCCGTGTTCTGGATTAACAGGGGCCAATCTTCGACAAAGATTAGATCCTGCCCAATGTCAGTGGTTTAGGTAAGGGAAACAGCAAGCTTCCCTAGCGGCTCTTATTAATCTGATTTAATTTATCAGCTCTGTTGGGAAATAACATTTACACAAAACGTCTAGGCTGCTTACCATTTACACAAAGCACCCAGGTGGAAATTCTGTGCGTAAACATAAAGCTATAGAATTTGACATGGTGGGATAACTACCCGCTACAAAGTACATCCAAATCAGCTGAACAGACTAAAAAGAGGAGAAAAATTGATGTTTCTGAAGCTTCCCAAAAGGAATGGCATGAACTTTTATTTTTGATTTTCCAACCAGAATGTTTGATTTTCCCAAGTAAATGGTAAGTACCCCTGTAGCAGGAGATTTCCAAAGCAGAGAGTGCTAACAGTATATAATCTGTACCCATCTGAGGTTCTTTCTTGCATTGTGATTGGTCTGGTTTGCTGAGTTTTTAGTGCATAGGAGAAAACTTTTAGATACTTAATGTCCCTACTGGAGCAGTCTGAAATATTTATGTGCTCTAGATTTCATGTTAAGACAATAAGTTTTGCAGTATTTTGTGTGGCTCTGTTTGTTTTCAGGGTTTTACCAAAATGAATAAGTTTGAAATTCTTCATTAATTAGCCATTTAAGGGAGTTTAAAGCTAGGTTTTGTAAACTTCTGTGGTTAACTTACATGTAGATTGTGGGTGGGCCATAATATGACAAAAACAAATGTGAAAAACAGGGTCACTGGTAATTTTTATCACCCTTGTGTAATAAAGTCATCTAGAGCTTTATTTATGTTATTGGTTTTTGTTGGGTTTGGTCATTGTTGTATCTGTTCTAATCACATACTTTGTTTAACTTACTTTGCAGTGGTAAATCTTTCCTGGAATATATAGATGAGTTGCCGTCAATGTCACGTGCAGTTGATGGACCTCTTAGGGTACCACTCTCTGAAAGATATAAGGTGTGTACAGTGTGTTATTTTAGAATGCATTATTGCACAGCCTTCTTTTTCACTATCTGCTAAGGATCGGCAATGACATTAGGGCCTTCCTCTGAAGGCAGCATAGTTTTCTATACTAGCATTACAGCCCTGTTATGTGCTGAAACTTCATTAATACAAAAGTAAGTTTCTGCAAGCTTTTGCATTTCTGTTGCAAATGTTTTATTGCTAGTAGACTTCCTTTTATCCTTGTAACATTGATCGTAGTGATGATAAAATGAAGAGAAACCCCTTCAGGAAACTTTTTTCATGCTGCGTCTGGTAAATCAACCAGAACAAATTTAAACCATTAGTGCAAACTTGCGCAAACTCTTTTTCCTCTTTACTGCTTACAAGTTGCAGCGTGTAGCAGGGCCTTGAAGCTTTTTTTTCTAATGCCATTGCCCAGATTCTTCAGATAAAAGTTCTGACACGAAACCTGTAAGAAATCCTGTCCACTGTAAAGCCACTTTTACTCACAGTTGACTCACATGAAGTACTCTCTTACTTTGCAGGATATGGGGACTGTGGTACTTGGTAAAATAGAATCAGGAAAACTTTCCAAAGGGGATTCACTTATACTGATGCCCAACAAGGTAATAACAAAGTTGCTGTTATGTTTTATTGTATTAATTTTAAAACTTTTTTGCGTATAAAAAAAGTTAAAGCAAGGTTTATGAGTGGTAGTAGAGCAAGCAAACAATTAACATGTATGTACTGCACTTATCCTGCATACTGTGAGCCTGTCAGCAAGCTCTCCAGCGCGCTCTTGCGGCGAGGTGAGAAAAGGAACGAGAGCTTGCAACTACGTCTCTGGAATTTGAATTCCGCCCCAAATTCCCCAATGGCTCCCCTTCGACTGAGCTGTCAGATTTCTGCTAATCAGCGCAAAGTGGAAACAAATGCGAAAAAAAACATGTGAAGGGTAATGACATCATTTCTAATGTTATCTCCGCCAATCAGCATTTCGCTTTGACTTTTTCGATGCACGTATTCCAATTCCAGAGACGTAGTTGAAAGCTCTCCCTCCCTTCCCCCACCACAGCGCCCCAGAGACCTTGCTCGCAAGCTAGCATACTGTTAGTCAATCCCATCTGCGATAAGCAAAGAAAGATGAAGTAGATTTAGGGAAATATGAAATGATATTACATTGTTATCAAACAACATTTTATTACACACTAAGTCAGTATGGCTTTCTGCACAGGTTCCAGTTGAGGTTTTAGGAATCATATTTGATGAAGAAGATAAAACAGAAGCGATTGCTGGAGATAATGTTAAAGTCAAATTAAGGGGAATTGAAGAAGAGGTGAGTTACAAGCATGATTTTTTCGGTGGGTGGAATAGTAGGTAATTTAAAGAGGGCAAGATTTCATTTCTAATGTTAATTGTAATACAATCATGATACAATATTTAAACATGCAGGTGCACTGAAAAGGAGGCTTCCCAGGGAAGACCAAAGGCCTGTTTATCGAATATGTGGGACCTTCCAGTCCCAGAAAGTTGTGTTGTGTTTGCCGTGTTTATATTGAAGTTCTTGATTTTACTAATTTTAAAATAACTGATACTGATAGACACGTACATTCTTTCGTTTTTTATCTAAAATATGGCTCTGGGCCCGAAAAGTTGACGAGACTTTAAAAAAACGGCGTTTTTGGACGTTCTTTTGCCTTGAGTGACGTTGACTCATTTTCCAAAGTTAAGACTACTGAATATTACCCTTCCAACCACTATTTTGTTTTTTGTAGGATATTTCACCTGGATTTGTGCTCTGTTCGCCAGAAAACTTATGCCACACAGTGAAAACATTTGAAGCCCAGGTATAATATTAGTAGTTATAGACTTTCTCCACCCTTTTTCTCTCTGATATCCAAGTGTGAAAGCCGGTAGCGCGTAAACGCAAAAGCTGAAACTCGCTCCAGGCCTCTATTTTATTTACGCACGTTAAGTTTGTTCGCATATGCACGTAAAAATTACTCGACAGTGGAATCCACCCTTATAGAGCGTATTTACTTACGTAGTCAGCAGCAATGCTAATTTATTGGAACAAAAGAAAGTTTTTGCATAAGAAAAAGATTCAACTCCCACATGACTGGTTTGAAACACCAACATGGCCGCCGTTTTGATGTTTTGATACACCAACATGGCGGACGCGAAGTCATGTTGAAAACGCTCTACAGGCAAACTGGGTCAAAAGTCTTTCCACAAAGCAGTCCCATAGTTCAATTCGACCTAGACCAAACATTACCAAAGTGCAATTCGACACAACACCAACCCAGTCTCTTTCGCAATCTCAAGGTGGCCATTACAGCTTTGTTTGCAGAAAACCTGGTTTCATCTTGTGTCTATTCTAAATTTATTTTACGATGTTTTTGCGAATTGTTGACAGGTGGTGATACTTGAACACAAGTCCATCATTTGCGCAGGATATCGTGCTGTCCTTCATATCCATAACGTCATAGAAGAAGTTGTTTTTGAGGTGAGGCGGTACTTTCAGTATAATTATATTTTATGAAAATATTTTCCCTAAACTTTTTATAGCGGGAGTAAGTACCATTTATTTCCGAACCTCCTGATTTAGGAGGGTTCAAACTAGCTTACAAGAGGGATATGAGATTAGCGGAAATTTGCTGCTTTCTAAGTTCTCCAGAAAACATGTGAATGGCGAGGAATGATGAAGTATGGACCACCCTCGTCAAAACCTTCTGGATCTACTTTTGTAATGTTTGGTAGATTAGCTAACACCAAGAGATAAAATGTTAAAAGGGAACAAATGCTTTCTTTCTAAATCGTTTTTTCTAGGGTCAGCCTTTTGAATCCCTTTTATCTCATTAACTCGGTTATATTAGCAAATGAAACCTCATTCTCCCGTTTGAATCTCAGACGAAGTTTGTTGCATTTCTCTTTTTTCTTTAGACATTAATAGACTTAGTTGATAGGAAAACAGGAAAGAGAATGAAGCAAAGGCCAAGATTTATTAAGCAAGATCAAGTCGCAGTAGCTCGGCTACAAACGTCAGGAATTGTGTGCATAGAGAAGTTTTCCGACTTTCCACAAATGGGAAGATTTACGCTCAGAGATGAAGGTGAGAGAATGACTTAAAAGTTAACAACTATTGTTTACTTCATTCAATTAGGACATCCATTCTTAGACTCGGCAAACTCGATGTTTAACAAAGAGACAACAACTTTCCATAGTCTACGCTCTTATAGACCATAGGAATGACGTCACAATGTCAGTACTCAAGTGGAATCACGAGCCGCAGGCGAGTGGTTTCACTGCAAAGTTTTAAACATTTTGATGCCATTTTTATGGGCTTAAAAAGCGTACACCATGAAAAAATTGCAAGAGACAGAAAGAAACAAATTATGTCATCATTACGTCATATAAATGGTCTATGCTCTCATAGACCATAATTCTCGACCAAACAGCGCGCGAGAAGTCGCCTAGTTGTTGTAGAATTTACAGTTTTCATCGGGGTAGCAAGGGTAGCGCTGTGGTGAGAGAGCCCTTGCCTCGCTTCATTTTCGCCCGGGATAGCGCCATTTGTGGGATCGTCGGGGTTAACAGCGTAAAAGGATAATAATAGGTCAATAAATGACTGAAACAAGTAGATCAAATAAACACAACAAAGCTTAAAATCCCAACTGACAGGAGACAAACCAGTTGGCTGTTTACAAGGAGAGAGATGTCATCATGGGTATGAAAATCTGGGGATTTCTATAATATTGCCAAATTCAGCTAGTGGTCAGGGCGGCAGTTGAACTCGGAGCCCCCGAATTACAAGTCCAGCGATCTAACCGCTCGGCCACGAGCCTTCTGTGAAGGCTTTTGTAACATTTCTTCTCTTTCTGTTTCCAGGAAAGACCATCGGCATTGGAAAAGTGTTAAAACTTATCCGGTCGTAAATGGAAAGATACGACTTACTGTACTGTACAAAGGTGGTTTGCTTAAACAGCTCTCTCTACTGAACCACGCGAAGTTTCAGTG